TTAAAAAATATATAATTTGTACAAAAAAAATTAAAAATCATTGAATATAACAAAATACTAAAATGTATTAATTTTTTGTATGCAATAAATTTTTCACTAGATTATTTAAAAGGAAAGGAATAATATTGTTTTTTTTTTAGATAGTAGGAATAATAATGTTAGACTCACAAAAATTAAACACATAAAAGTGTTGATGAAATTTATTTTAAGTCTAACTTACATCACACTCAAAATCAGTTTTAACTACCCAAGATATTTTCTTTATATGTTTTATATTCTTTTTTTTTTTTTTTTGCACTTAACATTATCAAAAATGATAATAATAATAAATAAAGATTAACTTCACTTCTAAAGAATTAGAGATCCATAAATAATCACCAATTTGTTTGAGAATAGGCTATTTTAGTTGACTATTTGATTTTTTACGAAAAGATATGCCAAAAAAAAAAAATAGAGAAAGTAATGTGATGGGATGTTTTGTTTTATTAACTATTTTAGCTTTGAATGGACAACCCATCCCCAAACAAACCCATATTTTAACTTATTTCTACCTTAGAGTGATTATGCCAGCAAAATAAACCACAATTACAACATTGTAAACTAAGTACAAAATCACTATACATAGAAACTCACATTAATACATTAATACAAGATTATCTGATAAAACAATCTAAATAAGGACCCATGTTTCGTTTATAAATCAATTCATATGTCACATGCAACTCGCGGACACCCCAACTATTATATATATATATATATATATATATATATGTATGTATATAAGTGTCAACAATCAAAGACTTTTGGTAATCTTTATTTATGTAGAAGCCAATAGAACCATAAGCATAGACTTTACATCACTACTAATACAGATTTGGGTGCCCTGCCCGCTCGAACTAAAACCTGAACTTCTCACGCAATTCAAACTTGTAAATAAATACGTGAGGAAATATCATTTTATCCCTTAAACTTTCACTTATTTTTTAATTTGACCCTTAGACTTCGAATAATATCAATTTTATACCCAAACTTTTAAAATCTTAATCAATTTAGCCCCTGCCGTCACATTCCGTCTACAATTGGACGGAATGTACTGTAACGCCCCGAAATAAATACAATAATCTGACTTCCAACGGTTTATACAATATGATATGAATTAAATAATAAGCTTTCATTGATCAGAGTTGATGTACAAAAGTTGACACATGCGATATACATTCATAAATAGTTCATCCTGAATTTACTGCATGTGTTGCAATGATAAAAGAACTGAAAACTAAACAAATAATTATATGCCCTAAAGGCTTACATCTTTCCAAGCCATGGCTTAGTTACAACAAAAGTGAGCCTAGTTCAATACAATTTAATCCCTTAGCTACGTAAAAAGGAATACAACAAAAGGAAAGAAGCTCTCGCTCCAAAAGTCCCTCCAAGCTATTGCCTTAACGGAGACATATCACCAATACCTAAAAATGGTTTTCCCAAATAGAGTGAGCCAACGTCCAGTAGAAACAATCTAACACAATATATGAATCTTAACAAAGATAAATATAGTGTGCATATACAATGTTTATGACAAAGCATTCATACTCAACATGATCATAAAGTACCAAATTTCATATCTCAATCCAGTTCCCTTTAATTCATTTCAAGTTAATCCATTTCATCTCAATTCATAAGCCAATTTCATTATCTTCTAATGAATCTTAACAAAGATATAAATATAGTGTGCATATACAATGTTTATGACAAAGCATTCATACTCAACATGATCATAAAGTACCAAATTTCATATCTCAATCCAGTTCCCTTTAATTCATTTCAAGTTAATCCATTTCATCTCAATTCATAAGCCAATTTCATTATCTTCTAGACAACCCAACTGAGACTACAACTCAGTGGTTCTCAAATCAGCACAACTATCACACAAACACTTTAATTTGCCATTTTACGGAAATTTCATCTGCGGGATCGGCACCCATGTATACGCGCGGTTTCGGGACTTTCAGCCTGGACACTCCGGCTAACTTAATGGAGTCCATCCTCTATCTCCTCCCAAACATGGAATACATCTCCTTTCTTCTCCCAAACATCATACATATACAATGTATTTAAAACATAGTCATATTCAATGACAATCAGCAAGAGATTAGTTTCAATTCACCTACTCCTTATGCAATTTCTACAACAATCATAGTTATCCTTCACTAATAGCCCAATACAGATATTTCTAAATAGATATTCAATCTCAAGACATATAATTTATTCAAATTTCCATAGGTGTGAGGTAATATATATCCAATTCCACCGTTTATTCCAACATTCATTCAATTTCATATTTACGACACCAATTCCATTTATTTATACAAAACAAATATTGGACCCATTTTAGAGCAAACTCTATTTTTTCCAAATATTAACCCGAAGGCTAAATCAACCATTTTGTCACAAGATAACCTCATATTCAAATCCCATAACCATTTATGTCACATTTACTTAGAAATCCCTCTTTTGATTTTAAACCCAAACCCTAGGTTTATCCACAATACTCTAAGCTAAAAACCATATGAAAGTGTAGAAAATCCCTACCTCAAGTTTAGAAGATCAAAGGAGCAAGAGAAAAACTTCAAAGATGTCGAAACCAGGCTCTATTCGGATCAAAATATAGCCCTTGAGATGTTCTATCTTTTTAACAAAGACAAATGAGTAGAGAGATCACTAGAACTAGGTGAAAATGTAGAGAGACAGAGAGAGTATTTTAGAGTGAGAGGCTCTAGATCTAGGGTTTTTGAAAAGTAGAGAGAGAAAAAGATATGAAAAAAGTGTTGTAAAATGTCACTTTTACAGACTGAAATACGCAAGTCCGCTCGAGTGCAAGAAGTGACACTAGAGCGTCAGACACAATAAGTTGTTCTGCTCGAGTGCCAAGACACAATGAAAGAGACACCCACCACTCGAGCGCAAGAAGTGACGCTCGAGTGTAGAAAACACAGATCCAGTAGTTTTACAGACAATAGACTAACGCTCGAGCGAAAAAAAGGGTCGCTCGAGCTGAGCCCACTCACGCTCGAGCATAGAAGGACGTGCTCGAGCATAGAATATGCTCTCCAAGTAGTTTTGCAGACCTGAAAAAGTACTAAGAGTTTGCAAAGCCCGTTCGAGCGCAAGAAGTGCCGGTCGAGTAGAGGAGCAAAATTCTGGGCAACAACAGTTTGGAAAACAAGCAACCAACCTGCCTCAAACACAATCACAACAATTCAAAACTCAAATTTAAGGGAAAACAAGGGGAAAAATGGATGAACAACAACACTAAACCATGGAACCAGAGTCTGGAATACAACAAGTGTCGGGTCAAAACCGGAATCGCTATAATTTTACCCCATAAACTTTACCTTAAAAATCAATTTGCCCCCCAAACTATACCATAAAAATCAATTTACCTCCCATGTCAGTGCATTCCATCCAATTGTAGACGGAATGTGACGGCAGGGGCCAAATTGATTAAAATTTTGAAAGTTTAGGTGTAAAATTGATATTAATCGAAGTCTGGGGGTCAAATTGAAAAACACATGAAAGTTTGGAGGGCAAAATGATATTTTCTCTAAATACATTGAAGAAAGCATAGCATCAATAAACAATAGGACGGCGCAAAATTATCATATAGGGGATGAATATATATATATATATATATATCTAATCAAAAATTTTAGAAATAAAATACAAATTATAATATCAATTTCTACTAACGTGATCAAGTAACTAACTGATATCTAATTTTATTCTTTACAGATTATAGCTTATAATTAACACTAATTATAAAAAAATAAATTTCTTTTATTATATTTTGTCTTTTTTTTATTAATTTTATATTTTGATTACATGTTTCATAGATATAGAGTAATAGTCAATTAAACTTTCTTTTAAAATCTAGAGAAGATGATTCTTAAAATTTGTAAAAGAAGAAAAATTTAGAAGGAGCAAGTATCTATAATTTGTAAATAATTATAACTAATATTATTATAATAAATGGTGTTCTTGAAAATGTACCTCCCTCTCAGTACCATGATGCGGGTATTTAAGAAATATAATAGGGGAAGGCAGCCGATAACACAAACGGAAATAGCAAGGCCAGATGAATGTGCTAAGACAGCATATGTCCCCGTAACGAATGCCAACACCATTGCCATCGCAGCATAAATAGTAAGATAAGCAGCTCTATGAACTAGCTTCTCTACTTCATCCCCATTGTTACTACCAGCCGCATAGAAGTGGGTGAGCACTGCTGAAATGGATAATGACGTGGCTATGGTATCTATTACCATAAAAGCTTTGAAAGCTGCTTCTCTTGTTAGAATCGCCATGCCTTGGTTTGGGCCATCGTTGCCATTATATCCACCGGGCATCGTGAAACCAGCAGTAAAGGCCACAGTTGCTACAAGTGTAGCCACTATCAAATGGTTTTCCCCTGTTTGCCTCAAGTCTATGGGTGTTACGTATACTACATTCCCATAATGAGGCCTAGTTGGTTCCTGCAAATAAAAAGCAAAATAAAATAAAACAAATAATAAATTATAGAAGGCAAATTTCATTTTACCATGTTACTTTTGCCCATGTGTGAATTATACCATTCTCATTTGAAAATAATCAAATAAATCCTTTGTAACGTTAAATATTGTGTAATTTAATAGCAAGTGTAAATCACGTATAGGCATAAGGGAGATTATATGCTCATTTCAAATTTTAAAGGAATAAAATACACATAAAATAAAGTATAGGAGTTAAGATGCATTTTGTCTCCCAAATAAATAATGAAAATATCCGTAGTTCGTACATCTAGATTACTTATATATAGAGGCATTTTAATATTTTTCATTAAATCGTTAGCGGGGCTAATAGTATACTTTGGTTCGCAAATATGGCTGCATGGTTATTTCCCAAAGGGAAACGAGGAATCCCATCATAGATCAAATCACAATGTGATAAAGTAAAATTTGCCCAATTATAAACACAAATAAATGGTAAATGCTAGGAGTGACCTGGTGTGTAAGATTAAATTTAATTATTTAATCATTACAGTGACTCACATGATATGGCAATATTAATTGTAGATTTAATAGGATTTATGTTCCATATCTTTAGTCACAAGTTTTATCTGATAGGTCAATAAGAAGAGTGGTTTCCGAGTTTCTTACTTTGATGGGCAAGTAGAGTTATGTTTGAACAAGGAAATTGGTCATTGCTTTGCCTATAAAATAACATTCAAAGTAACCATCAAAAAACTCTGAATTCACGTATTTTAAAGAGGGTTAAGAGAGAGAAATCATTTATTCATAAACCTAAAACTTAGCATTTATCTACTAAATCTCTAAAGTTTTCTGTAGTAATGGATTCAGGTAAGTACCGCAGCAATGGATTCAGGTAGGTGTAGATCTTGGATTATGAAGATTGTTATATGCATAATACCATAAAATTTATTTATATCGTGGACCATGTAGTTGTCCCTTGAAAATTTAAAATAACAAGAAAGTCAGACTTTCGGGATTTGAGTCGATGGAGCGACTGTTATTCTTTCGTTGTGATGTAACTTACTAAACCATTAACATCTTATATTTTTTTTAAGGAAATAAAAAAAAATAAAGGGTTAAATTTATTTTATCCCCTTGTGGTTGGGGGTTGAAGCGCTTTACCCCCTATAGTTCAAATATAGTTAGAAAATTATAGCGATCCCGGGTTTACCCTTGTTGTACAGTGATCCGGACATGTGTCCGTGGATGTTGGTAGTTGTTTATTATCTTGTTTGCATCCTTTTTACTTTGTATATTGAGTTATGGGATGTGTTAAGCAGGTTTGTTACAGGTTGGTTGTGTTTGGGAGCCTAGTGTTGCTGCCCAGATTTTTGGACCTTCGCTCGAGCGAGGAGTTGGTCGCTCGAGCGAGAGTGAGGTTCGTGTCTGGTGGGTTGAGCCAGGGTGGCTTCGCTCGAGCGAGTGTTGCGTCTGGTTCTGGACCTGAGAGTTGCCTTTCTTGGCTCGAGCGAGCTTCCTTCGCTCGAGCGGTCTGGGTTTTTCTTCGCTCGATCGAGAACTTCTTGGCTCGAGCGAGAGTTTCTGTGTCTGGTCGCTCGAGCGACAAAGGCTTCGCTCGAGCGAGCGTGTTTTATATCAGCGGACAGTAGCGTTTTTAAACTTCAGTTTTTCACTTCTTTTTTTGATTAAACCCTAAATCTGAGACCCTCTCTCTCTAAACTTACACCCTCTCTAAGATTTGATCTCCCTAGAGTGTGAATCTAGCTTAGAGCCTTTGTTAAAAAGATAGAGGGCGTTGAGAGCTTTGTTTTAATCTGAAAAAGTTTTGATTTGGAGCACGTTGATCTTCGAGTCTTCATCTCCTTTTTGGCTTAAACTTCGAGGTAGGGATACCCTACTCCTCTCTATGGATTTTGTCTTTAAATTTTGGTATTTTGAGATGTTGGGCTTGGTTTGGTAATTTTGTGAAAGTTTGGGGCTTTTGTGTAATTTTACAAAAGTTGGGGTTTTATTCATAATAAACCTAGATGCATGTTTGGCATAGAAAAATAGAATGATTGTTGAATCATTGATGAAAATGGAACCTAAGGGTTGAAATAGTAATTATGGAAAATGGCCTAATTACATTGTTTAATTAATTGGGATAATTAATTGGTGAGAAATAAGGAAATGAAATGTTGATTGAATATCCACTTGTGCATTTATTTTCTGTTTTAGAAATAACTGTTTGGGCTATCGGTGGAGGATAGTCGTGATTGTTGTAGACGTTTATTATTTTGATGGGCAAGTAGAGTTATGTTTGAACAAGGAAATTGGTCATTGCTTTGCCTATAAAATAACATTCAAAGTACCATCAAAAAATTCTGAATTCACGTATTTTAAAGAGGGTTAAGAGAGAGAAATCATTTACTCATAAACCTAAAACTTAGTGCTTATCTACTGAATCTCTAAAGTTTTCCGTAGCAATGGATTTAGGTAAGTACCACAGAAATAGATTCAGGTAAGTACAATTATTTATATGAAAAATCATGATAGTTATAGATCTTGGATTATGAAGGTTGTTATATACATAGTACTATAAAATTTATTTATATCGTGGATCATGTAGTTGTCCCTTGAAAATTTAAAATAACGAGAAAGTCAGACGTTTGGGATTTGAGTCGATAGAGCGACTGTTATCCTTTCGTTGTGATCTAACTTACTAACCCATTAACATCTTATATTTTTTTAGGGAAATAAAAAAGATAAAGGGTTAAATTTATTTTATCCCCTTGTGGTTGGGGGTTAGAGCATTTTACCAGCCTGTGGTTCAAATATAACTAGAAAAACCTCATATGATTTTATATTAAAGTGCTACCATTGATTTTTCCATCCAAACTAATAGAATGTGTATTTCACACACTACTTTTGAGAGTGGATTTGATTTCCTGAAAAATTAAAGTGAAATTAATATAACAAAAAAAACAATTTTATCCCAATTTTCTCTAAACCTAAAATTAGATGAATATGTTAATTAAAATAAGATAAATCAAATTAAAATATCATTAAAAATTGATCTAAAATATAAAATACAACTAAGAAATGATTTAAATTATAATTAAATAAAAATATAAAATAAATAATAATTAAAAATTGAACTAAAATATAATTAAATTAAAATTAGATTGACATGCTAGGAATTATAATAGATAATTAAGCATTTAAGATTAATTGTGATCTAAAATATTAAATTAAAATTAGATTAAAAATTTATTAATTAGAATAAATAATTAAATATTTACGATTGATTGTGATATAAAATATAATTAAATTAAAATTAGAATAAAAAGTTAAGAATTAAAATAAATAATTAAGAATTTATAATTAATTGTGATCTAATTAATTTAATGTTAAACCTGATAAATTATGTGTATGAGAGAGGAGATAGAGAGAAAATAACAAAAAAAATATAAGGTTTGATGGTATTATAATCATTTTATATGTTGTCCAAAATCACATGGGCCTCTCTGATTATTTTTTAGCCATAAGCGGTAAAGAAGTTTAGCCTGAAATTCTGATGAGCTAAAATGAATTTCAACCAAAAATAAAAAATAAAAATCATTGTAAATGAAGTTTAACCCGTTCGTTCGGACCTTAGAGAGAATGCCCCAAGCTTGTTTGGCTTTTGTAGCATCCTTGATTCTTGGAAAGATCTGGTCTGAGACGCCTTGCTGGATGTGATAAAGAGCTGCTGCATCCTTTTGTTGCTTCTCCTTGTTGCTCTCATCGTCGTACCCATTCTGTACCGTATCCCACAAATCCATAGATAAAAGCATAGTTTTCATCTTCACACTCCAAATCTTGTAGTTTGTACCGTCAAAAATTGGAATTGTGGCCATGTAGACTTAACTCTGTTAAGGATATTCAGTTCTTCACCTTGCAGCTGATCTTCCTTCCACAAACCATAAACTCTATATAGCGATCCCGGTTTTCCCTTTCGTGCTTAACAGTAATCCGGATTCGGTTTCGTAAGGGTGTTGTTGTCTTATCCTCTTTCTATCCCTTTCTTTTTGTGTTCGAGCTTTGGGTTGTGTTGGGCAAGTTGGGAATAAGTTGGTTGTGTTTTAAAACGTAAAATCCTTGCCCAGTTTTTGGTCTCTCCGTTCGAGCGGCGCATTTAACGCTAGAGCGGGACTCTGTTGTTGCTTGTCCGCTCGAGCGGGGGTGTTGGCGCTCGAGCGGGGAAATCACCCATCCAGTATTTCATCTACAGTGGTAGACGCTCGAGCGGGGAATTGGCCGCTCGAGCGGGAGTTTGTGTCTGACGCTCGAGCGAGGAGTTTGACGCTCGAGCGGGCACCATGTCTGTAAAAGTTCTGGGAGCGTGCATCTGCCGCTCGAGCGGAGGATTGGACGCTCGAGCGGGGATTTTGCCGCTCGAGTGGGGCGACTTTTATATAAAGCCGAGATCCGACCTTTTTGTTCACTTTTCAACATCCTTTCTCTCTCTTACTTTTCCAAAAAGCTATTTTGAGAGTTCCTCTCACTAAAACCCTAACTTCTCTCTTAGGATTGATCTAGTGGGAGTTGTTTTCTCACCTTGGGCCTTTACAAAAGTTGTGTTGATCGTCGGGGGCTATCTTTTAATTGAAAATTTCGGGATTTGGAGCATTTGCTGTTTCTTCATCTCCTTCGTTGAGTCCCATCATTCGAGGTAGGGATATCCTACTCCCCCTTATGGATTTTGTCTTTAAATTTTAGCATTTTGATATGTTGGGTGTTGTTGGGTAGATTTGAGAAAGTTTTGGGCCTTTTGCGTAATTTTACAAAAGTTGGGGTTTTGTTTGAAATAAACCTATATGCAAGTTTGGTATAAAAGAAAATGAGTTGGATGATGGATTGTGGATGAAAATGGAACCTTAGAGTTGTTTTGTTAATTAAGGTAATTTACCCTAATTGTTTTAATTAATTAATGTATATAATTGATTAATGGAAATGAGGAATTGAATTGGAAATGTTGAAATTGGGAATGTATGGGACTAAAGGGTGTAGTTAAATCATTTATTGCTCACCTAATTGAAATGTTGATATATTATCCATTTGTGCATTTATTTCCTGCTTAGAAATAATTGCTTTGGGCTACCGGTGGAGGGTAGTGTTGAATGCTGTAGACAATGCATGATGATTAGACAAACTAAAACTAATCGATTGGATGTGTCATAGAGTATGACAGTTGATAGAATACATTAACTTTATGTATCGGTTGATTGTGCATATGGCCAATGTGTTTATATTCATTATATGTAGACAGTTGATAGAATACATTAACTTTATGTATTGATTGATTGCGTATGTGATTCTGTGTTTATATGCATTACTTGTGTATGGGAGGAGATGGGGGATGTACTCTACGGTTTGGGGGAAGATGGTGCTTGTGTATAGGAGGAGATGGGGGATGTACTCCACGGTTTAGGGGAAGATGGGAGATGTACCTCTAAACCAGTTAATGGTTAAGGGAACATGAGGGATGGACCCAGGGATGCAGCTCATGTGCTCTCCCATTGTAGCGGTGATACAGCTCATATGCTTATCTGTTGAAGTATTGATATAGCTCATATGCTTATCTGTTGTAGTAATGATATAGCTCATATGCTTATCTATTGAAAAGTTTGTTTGATTTGATATAGCACTAAAATGTATATCATCATCGTTTGTGAAGTATGGAAGTAGTTTATGTGTTATTGATACAACACCAAAATGTGTATCCACCTTGAATTTCGAAAATGTTCTAGTGATGAACTATAAGCTCATCAAATGTTTTGGCCAGAGAACTGAACCTTGTTTTCAAACTCAAAGTTAAATAAGAAATGGAAGGTGAATTGTAACCTAGACTTGACCGCCATGGAATTGTAATAAGATGTAAATGGTAGTGTAAGTGTTGACCATCTACTAGTTGCTAATCTCTTAGTCATTGGTCATAGTTTGTTTAGTATATTTCTACTGGGCTGTGGCTCACCCTATATGGGGACATCATTTTCAGGTACAGGTAGCATGTCACCTCTAAGGACATAGCTTGGGAGTCTAGAGGTGGACATACTTTGGCTGTCTTATCTTCCTTGATTGTATTACATATAATCTCAAGCCAAGGACTTAATGTGTAATTAAGTTAGTACTCTCTCTTGTAACCAAGTGTTAACTTGGAAAGCTGTAAGCCCATAGGGCATTTGCTTTTGTTGAAAACATGTAATACTTTTGTAATGAAATACTCTGATGAATAGATGAATGTGGACCTTTTATGTATCAATGCATGTCTCTATATGGAGGGGTTTAATGTTATTTTTTTGAGGGCGTTACACTATCTGCTAGGTCAAAGGACCAACCAACATATATAAAAATTAATTAATTAAAACATTTAAATTTTATTTTAATTTTAAAATTTAAATTGTCTTGAACTGAAACATACATAACACTATAATATTAAATAGGAGCATAAGGTTTATATAGTGAAACAATTCATTTTTTTCTCCTTTTCCTGATGTGGGATTGTAAAATAAAATTTAATAGTTGTTTGGACGGGAAATTCATTTCTAATCAAGCAATCTCAATCGTTTAATTTTCAACAAGGTCAATCTTAGTTTATTTCAAATGAAACAAATCTAAGCAATATATTTTAATAAAACAGTTAAAACTGTGGCTAAACCAGTGAATCAGTCAAACTGAAAACGATTTAGCCTAATCGGTTAAGTTAAAAGACCAACCAATTTACAACAAAATTAATTAATTAAAACCTTTAAATTTTATTTTAAAATTTAAACCATCTTGAACTGAAACATGCACAATACTATAATATTAAATGAGAGTATATGATTCACTTTATATAAGCGAAAAAACTCACTTTTTATTTCTTTTCTTGATGCGGGATTGTAATTATTTTAAAGTTAAATATTATGAGAGTTTCAAAATCTCGTACAAAATTATTTTTAAAAACAAAACATCTATGTGGAATTGTACAATAAAAGTTAAATGGAAGCTAACCAATGGAGATTTTCTTAATTGATATACTATTCTCTATATAAAAGATATAGTGTGCTTGTTGAGGTAGCTGCCCATGTAGAGGTTGCGGTGCTAGCAATGGGGCAGAGTGGGGAGGGAGCCATCTCGGCAACTCCCGTGACTCAGGGTGTTGGTAGGCCTTTTAAGAGGCAGAGGGGTTTAAACCCGGAACAGGGAGGTCGGGCTAGAAATACCCTTCCAGTGTCGGATTTGGGTTCAGGAGAACATAAACAGAGGGGTGTCATTTGTTTCAAATGTGGTCTACTGGGCCACAAGGTTTCGGGTTGCCCACAGAGGAAGGGGCCAGGGTTAGCAGTTCAACCAGTAGTTGTACCACCAGGATCATCTAACCAGCCGGGTTTTGGGCCGATTGAATGCTCAATGGGGAGGCAGTTGTTGGGGTCTTCATCAGCCCAGATTCTGAACCAGTCTCGTGCTCAGGCACCGCCTACTTGTTGGATATGTAATCAGTCGGGTCATATTCGACGTTTATGTACTCAGCCGGGGGCTTCTTTAGGGGTTTCGCAACCTAGCCAGGCTCAGTTTCATTCGACTGGGCAGGAACAGTATCGTTTTGGGGGACTAACAGGCCAGATTGCGAGGGCCTCAGTAGAGTCGAGTTCCCAAGCCCCAGTTGGGGAAGTTGGTAGTTGTTCCAGGTGTGGACAGAGGGAGCACGTCAGTAGTTCTTGTCCGTGGCTTGTAAGCTCGTAGGTTATCTTATGTTCAGAGATGACCAACTTCGGCGGTCCAGCAAGGGACGGTAGTCGTGGTAATACCGATGGGATGGTTTTGTTATGACTAATCCGTTTTGTAATCAGTGGATTATTGTTTTGTGATCATTGGGTTCTGTTGTGTAACCAATGTGTTTTGGGAATGTTGAAACATCTAAACTGTTTGTTTATCTATATATATATACATATATGCTTTGTTTGTTAATTTTCCTGGATTGGGTGAATTGGAGCATGTTGTAGCTCCAAAGTTTTGTTAATGTAATACATTGCTGTAAAACCATAAAATTTTTGGTATTAATGTTTTTTTTATGCGTGCGTTTTCGTTTTGGAGAAATGAGGGCTAATGAGCCATGCTTTCAAACTTAAAAAGATTACTGAGAGATGTTTATCTTAATCAGGATTACAAGGAGGCGAGAACAGTTATACTTACCAGGTGTTCGAAATTTCATTAGTGTTATCTATTTGACCTTATGTGCGTGAAAGTGATATTGATCTACTGTCGTGAGGACTCCTCGAGGGGAGGTGAAGTGTGCGAGTAATACTAGGTGTAGTATGTATTTAACATGGTGCTTTACAAGGGCATAGTGCATAACCTTATTAGGAATAGACTTGTACCTTCGTGGTAGGTAACGCTGCCGAATTGGCATATGTACGGGTTGGTTGTTTCGATTGAGGGAGTGTTAGCCCCTACATGAGGGTATGGTTGTTGGCATCGGGGAGTGATGTATTGTAAGCAGTTGGTGCTATATCTCGGGTAGTAGTATATGGGTATTTCCTAAGTTTTTGGGCTCCTTTATTATGATCGAATGTGATAGGTTTGTACCTTAACACTGGTTAGGTCGGGAGATGCTATCGTAAGGGTTGATTGGGTGTACAGCCCGTAGTTAGGGTGTGATCCGTGGATGGAGTCACAGTGGTATGGTGTTTGCGGATAGAGATGTGGGTTAATAGTGAGGAGGGTGAGGACCTTTACTTTGCTGGATAATTAGGGTGGTGAGTCTTTGAAGGCCTAGTCGGTGACATGCGACAGTGTCGGGGTTGGTTCATGGTGGTTGCCTAGCGGTAGTTTTGACTAGTGGTCCAGCACGGAGGCCGGGCCTCTTGAAGGTACTCTCGAGATGAGTGACAAGTAAGGTGTAGAGTAACGAGTGGACCCTATGAGTTATTGGG